ATGGAGCTCTTTAAAGGTCATAATTGGTACCTTGAATCGCACCCGGAAAACAGCCGGCAACCAGTGCAGGCCGCCTAAAAGGGGTGTAACATGGGAGCACCTAGGTACCCCCATGATAGCCCGCGCAGCCGCATTCTGGATGAGCTGAAGCTTCCAGATGCTCTTCAAGGGCAGCCCCATGTAGAGCACATTACAGTATTCCAGCCTAGAGATCACAAGGGCCCGAATAACTGTTGTGAGGGCCTCCCGATTCAGGTAGGGCCGCAACTGGCGCACCAGGCGAACCTGGGCAAATGCTTGCAAAAATGCACACAGCCTAGGTGGTTTTAAAGGTGTGTGTGTTGTGTGCCTATTTTTATATGAATTGCATGCATGTAAATGCATGTGTATGTATTCAGGAAGGTAAAACGTTGCTTTTAGTTTCTGCCTGAAATGTGACAACTGTTTCTGAGTGTAATCGTCTGTCTATCCATGTTCAGAAGAACTTTTCCAAAATTCTTTTCCATATGTCCACAGGGGTTGTGGCACTGAAAAAAAGTGGCTTATGGTCATTTTTTCACACTTATGACCATTGCAGCATCCAAATTCAGATGCTGGTTCATATTTATGACAGTTGCAGTGTCCTGGGCTCATGTGATCCCCTTTTGCGACCTTCTGACAAGCAAAATCAACGGGGAAGCCAGATTCACTTAACAAATGTGGCAAGAAAAGTCATAAAATGGAGCAAAACTCTCTTAACACATTTCTCACTTAAGCAACATAAATTTTGGGCTCAATTGTGGTCATAAGTCAAGGATGACCTATAAATACATGGAGAGAAGAGGTGACAAAAGGAAAGCTGAGCTGGCATGAAGGGAGGCTCTGAAAAGAACAATGCTCCCAATACTCCCAGATGCCATGACCTAGAACAGGGCAGATGGGCCACTCTGTGTTTCCCACTGCACACATACACAGCATCGTAGAGGCAATACCGAATGGAAACCCACACGTGATTCAGACAGGAACATGAATTCAGTACAGCAAAGCAAATGGAGACACATTCCTTATGGCAGCTGCTGGTTAAAAGGGTTGGAAAGAATTTGAGAAGCCCAGTTCTGGATGCTTTCCCTGTCTTGTTGAATCAGGATCCTGGGTGAGATAAGCTGTTCTCTGAATATCGAAAATTATATACGCTATTGCATTTCCCCCGAGAAAGACTCCTGCTAGCTGCATCTGCAGCTATGTTGAAAACCCATCCATTTACATCTGTCTCATCCTCAGTCTAATGCCCTCCAGTTGCATGGAAGGTTGGTCTAAACCCTTAGCGTGAACGTTGCAAATTTGTTTATAAAGGCCTTGAAATTTCAGCAGGATCAAGATGGGATTTTTAAGGTCAGGTGGGTAGTTATTAATTTCATCTTGCCAATAAAGGAGAATATTTGTAGCTCAAGAGGTCCTTGGCACTCTATGACCTTGGTTATTTTCTTGCAGATGTTTTGTTATCCAAACTAGGTAAATTGATTGAGATTGGGTAATGAAACCTGCAAAAAAGCTCAGAGAGCACCAAGGACCTTTGAGCCCTATCTAGTCTATTTATACAGTGTGTTGTTATGGCCAGGTTTTGTCAAATTGTTTGACTAAGAAGCAAAGGTGGCAAAGAAACCTAACATCTCCACCTTTGTGCAAGATACTTTGTTCAACAAGGCGGCTTAGACTTGCTGCTAGAAAGGGTTGGAATGAACAGATGTTCCAAGACTGTAAGGCAGGAGAAGAAGAAAAATCCAGCTTTTTCCTAACAGGAAGACATTAAGACATTAACTTTGTTAATCATGAAAATAATTGCCTCCACCTTACTCTCACCTTTTATGTGAATAGAATGTGTTCAATTAATGAGGAGATCGCACAGTTGCCTTAAGCTGGCCTTCAAACTCTCCAGAAAGCTGTTGCAAAGAACATCATTGGCTTCTGTGTCACTCCTCTTTCTTTTTTGGGTATCGGCAATTCCTCATCTTTCTGAACACACACACAATGAATGAGTAAAGAGTTGAATAGAGGAAAAAAAAGAATATGGGATAGAAGTAGGAAAAATGAAACAAAAAGTGAAATGAATGCTAGATTCTTAGCTTTCACTCATTCCATGGAAGCGGCTGGTTTTCTCAGGCATAGAATGAGCCAGCTAGATGACCAAAAGGTGTTCTTCTAATTGTTCTCTCAGAGCGATCATTCTTATATGACAATGATGGAGGAGCATCTGGAAAGTGCCTGGGCCAGGATGCTTCACTCCATTTCCATGAGGAATAACCATTTGGTGAAATCATGGCAGGTAGAAGCAGTTTCAAGGTTGCTCTAATCTTGACTCTCTTATTCACTGCTGTGTTAACCTGGCTGGGTCTGCAAAAGATATACTTAAAATTGGAGATGCAAACCCAATAGGTTGGGAAGAAAGAGTTCCTCTTCCCAGAGTCCTTCGGGATTGGGCGGCCTATAAATTTATTAAACAGTTATTTATTAAACAGTTTCTATCCCCAGTTCATTTCAGTTGTACCATGGGGGGTCTCAATCATTCAGGTCATGGTTGTCCCAAAAGGTCCTTTTTTCCAAAAGACAATTGGGATTTCTTGGGGTTTTTTTCTTTGAATGTTTCACGTCTCATCAAGGAAGCTTCTATCAAAACTGAAGAAGCTTGACTAGATGGTAGGAGGGACATGAGGCCACTGCTGCTCTGTAGTCCTGGCTCCCTGTTCTTTGCAATGCTACTCTTGATCCCATTGTGCTGTGCTGTCCCTTTCTTCGCAGCATGGGCTGTTGCAGTGGGAAGGACTTGGGGCAATGAAGTCATGGCATAGATTGTGCTCACCTTTGCAATGGGATGGGATGGAAGCCAAGAGTCATGGGTTGGCAGCCTTGTTGACTGTATTTGGAAACTCTTAGGTAACCTGAGATGAGACTTTCTTTCAGGCTATTGGGGAAAGGTTATCAGACTTCACTTTGTGCGCAAAATTTCTTAGACTCCATCCCTGGCGTCTTGAAGAAGATGGAATGGTGGTCAATGGTGAACCACTGGCAGCTGGTTGGCCACAGGAAGTCCTGGTCCCTGGTCTGTTGCCACTGGTGTAGATAATGCTGCAGTAGAGGAATGAATTGGTATAAGGCAGCCTCAATAGGAGAACCAGATAGAGAAAAATTCCTGGATGTCAGGCCTGGATTAACCAGGACAGTAGTGCAAGATCCTCATAACAATAGATGGGGGGTAGCTGAATGAGATCTTTCTCTAACAGGTGAGTTGTCCATTTAGTCCTGCAGTGGGTTTATATAGCCAAGGATGAAGCAGAACAGGTAAGTGAAAACAGGTGATAATGCAAGTAGGGAAAATTACTTACCATTTTATTTCAAAAACTAGAACATCAAATAAATGGACCTTCTACGATGGCATTTGACTTCTTAGAAATATAGAAATATTTATAAATCAGAAAAATAAATTAGTCACATCAGGTATTTGTGATGTCACAGACACAGAATAATAGGTGCCCATGATCCTCATGCTGCTAAGGTCCCGAGCATTGCACACAGCAATGAAAATACCTGGCTGCAATGCTATTCTCCCACCCCCGAAAGAAAATATTGCAGATCAGGAGCTGACAAACTGTAACACACCTCCAAGAAATGAACGAGCTGGGACTGAGATAGCAATAATTGGATTCTCCAAGTTCTGTATAGGAGGAGGCCCATTTCTCATGCCAAGTACTCTATCTCTTAGGAAGTTCTGTATTTTCTCTGGATCACCCTAAAGCTAGCAGCAACCAAGCAAATATGACCATTTAGTCTAAAAGAAGTGTTTCTGGGTGGATCTAATCATAGGACCTGGAGATGGGAAGGGCTGCCAATTTTAGAAAACATAAGAATCAAATGCTCTAAAAATACAAATTGGACGGTAGGAATGAGGCCTTCTCAGAGGATTGCAAGGAGAGTCAGAAACGTGACATTCTTGCACTAGAATATTAATATGAAATAAATATATAAGGGTGAGGAAGGGAGAGGAGGAGAACCAACACATATCTAAGGAACATTTATCCAGATGCTAAACTTGCTGTATGAGTTTGATATGCTGGATACATTTAGCCCAAGGTCTCTGCATCCACAAGTCTCCCCAACCAGCATGTGCCTCTTGTGCAGCTTCTTCTGGCAGCCAAGGGTGGGTGGATTTTCTTAGGTTGCCATGAAGCGTCCCCCAGAAAGGTGATTATCGACCACAGGCAAAATAGTGGGACAATCAATGGTCTTTGAGCAGCAGTCAGCCAGTCCAAAGGTTGGCCAGGAACCGATAGAAAAAAGGCTCAAGGATGGGGAGGAGCATCTCTGGAGGAGAAGGAGGAGGATAGATTTCCACATCTTGTGCTCTTGGCACAAGAACTGGGGTGGATGCTTTGGTAGATCTGATTATCAGTTGCAGGAGGGCAGGACTATGGGCAATGAAGATGCGGAGCAGTGATAAACAGCAAGGCAGTCTCTCTCTCTCCTCTCTCTCCCTCTCTTTCTCTCTCTGGATCAGCTCAAAGGCACCATATCAACTCCCGCAGCCCCAACAATTCTGGGTGAGAAGATCATGGGCGAAGATGAAGCAGGAGGATCATTGGGCACTGGTGAGATTCCCGTCTCTGGAGAAGGCTGCACAGAGAAGAGAACAGACACACATACATACACACAGAGGTGGGGGTGGGGTGAGGGAGAAAGGGGTTTCTATCACAAGGAGCTTTCTGTTTCTGTTAACTTAAATTTTTGTGTTTTTTTTTTTAAAGGTGGATGGATGGATGATCAGTTTAATTGGGAAGAAGGGGTAGGGCCAGAGGTGGGTTTCTGCAGGTACGGTACGGTATGGTTCAGCCGAATAGGTAGTAAATCCAGCAGATACGTGACCGTACCGGTTGTATCCTCGGCAGCACCATCTTGATTTTTTTGTTCTGCACATGCACAGAACAATCTTCATTGAAAAAATTTAATCCCCCCCCCTTTAAATGTGTGCATGCGCAACATTTTTCAGGCATCGAACCAGTAGTAATGGCAGCAGGAACCCACCTCTGGCTGGGGTCTATATTCCTTCGGCCTACTGTGTACCTATGACATTTTTATCAGCATGATGTTTTGTATTAGAGTAATAATCTTTAAGCACCTGTTCCAAATAAAACTTTAAATCCTGCAAATATGGTTCCTGATTTTGCACCATGATATCATCACATACCAATATTCCATCAAACCCCAACACCATAAATAAATAAAACATTTGATAGCACCTCTGGCCAGAAATAGTTTACCTATCCCTGCATCCAAAAAGATGCCCTCGGGCCGTGATGGCAAACCTATGGCATGTGTGCCGGAAGTGGCACACAGAGTCATCTCTTTGGGCATGTGAGCCATTGCTCGTTGCTCTTCCTGGTGCTGGGGTGCTGGCCAGCTGGTCTTCATGTGTGCAGGAGCACTGGAAATTGGATGAGAACTGGCTGGTGTGCATGCACACGCTGGAAAGATTATCTTCTGGTTTCCAGCACATGCATGCACACCAGCCAGCTGGTCTTGGTGCATGCATGCGTACCAGAAACTGGAGGACCAGGTGGCCGGTGCGCATGCACACACCAGAAACCAGATAATCTTCCCAGCATGTGCATGAGCACTGGGTAGCTGCTCTCTGGTTTCTGGCATGCGCACACACGTGTACCCCCATTTCGGCACTCAGTGCCGAAAAGGTTCGCCAACACTGTCCTTTTTTTTAAAAAAAAGAAGAAATGCCCAAATAGTTCTCAAAGGAATGGTAACATTAATGGATGAACAAGTCCCTGAAAGCACATAGAAAAGTTAACATGACATTATTGTGGCATTGCCAGCATATTTGACCAAACAAAGTGATGGCTGGTGCACAGAACAAACTCCTTTTGTAGATAAGGCTTAATGGAACAAGTATCCTAAAGAAACACAACACTCTTCAGCCACTGCTCACTGTCTAGACATGCGGGCAGTTGAATTCTGCATCACCCTTAATTTGGTTATTGAATTAAGCCATTTTCTGGGTGTGTAGCACATGTTAAACCATAAGCTAATCAAACAGGTATGCTCTGCAAAACATGCTAAGCCCTGCAGAAACTAATCAGCATTGCCTCAACTTGCAAGTTGTTGCAAATTGAATCATTAATGATTCATGAATGAAGAATTGGGTTATTTATAACCTTGGTTAGTTTTTTGTATCTTAAAATATCATTTGATTGATTTATGGCTTAGTGTATTGCCTACACCAGAGGTGTCAATCTGGTGACCTGCGGGCTGGACACTTCACCTGCAGGCCATGCCCATCCCAGCTCTGCGAATGGGGAAAACGTCATGAAATGTCACACGATGGCAACATGACACGGTGACTTTGACACTTGTGGCCTACACTGATGTGTTAATTTAGTAATTTAAGCAAGTTGTGGGAACATAGCCTATGACTTGCATAGGGATCATAATTAGGAAGAACAGTAAAGTATTCTTGCAGCAAGGTATATTTCCTAACCAAAACTCCTTAGATTATTTGGGAAAAGAAAGGATTCTTTTGAGCATGTGAAAAAGTCCCACAATTGTCCAAATGGAAAACTTTAGAGAATAAAAGGAGATAGCCATCCAAATTGGATGGATGGATGGATCAGTGGGTGGAAGGACAGACAGGTGGATAGGTGGATCGATGGACAATATATAGTACATTATTTTTTAAGTTGCCCTATCTTACAAAATGTTGCTGAAATATCTCCAAAGCTAGCATGTGAATATTTCTATTTCTTATGAACAGAAATGGTCACTGCAGCTGTGACAGTCATTTCCTTTTACTAAGATGTGAATAATAGTGATTATTATTACCCAACCCTTTTCAAATTAAATGCTAGGCTAATGATAATTTGATGGGTCCCAGTAGTTAGTTGAAAAGCATATGTGGGAAATTTGTATAGGAATGTGATACTTACTGCACACAGAATTGTAAGTGCTATACTGCAGTACACACAGTGCTGACGGTGAACTCTGCCTCATTGGCCATGATGTCTGTGGGCTGCAAATTGCGGTCATACATTGGGTTTTCAAATGTTCCTCGGACATTGGTGTTTTCATGGCCAGCATAGCCATTGAACGGCACCTTCGGTCTCCTTCTGTTTCAGAGAGAACAAAGAGGTCACAGTGGGAAGGGCTCTGCAGGACAGGTATATAAAGAAACTACAATGCAGGGAAATCTGTAAACATCCCGTTTGTCCCTTCTCTCTCTCTCTCTCTCTCGTTCAAATTAATTGAAATCAATTCTATCACATGTGGTGAACTTGTCCCAAAACTAAGGAATTCTGGACAAAAAATCAAAAATGGTGGGAGGAAGTAACGGAGCAAAAAATTGACATGAAACCTGAGCTGTTTCTTTTGGGAATAATAGAAGGAAATATAAGCAAAGAAATTCAATATATTAGGCTTCATACAATTACCGCAGCCAGGATCACATTCGCCCAAAACTGGAAACAAAAAAACCATCCCCTCAAACACAGGGATCATTTTAAAAAGGTGCTAGAAATGCACGGAAAGGGATAAATTAACGATGGAACTAAGGGATAGAGAGGAAATAGAGTATTATAAGATGTGGAACAGGTGGTATAATTGGCTCGAAAAGAGATGTCGCATAATGAGTGTATAGAAACTATAACAAAAGGAGATGGTATATATTCAGAAATCAATAGAGATATAAATGTATATATGTTGTATACATTCTAAAAATAATAATTATGAAACAAGGAGGTATATGTATGAAACAATAGGACGTAGAATGGAAAATTAGAAATTAGAAAAAAGAATACCGATAGCGGAAAGCTGTAAAAGTGTAATTGTGATTTTAATGTTTAAAAATGCTGAATATAAATGAATTAAAAAAAATTAATTGAAATGGAGCGCCTCAAAGTGCAGTTTAATTGTGGCCACAGCCTAGCTCTGCTGAACAGTATATTCATCTACTAGTTAATGGTTGGAAGGGAACTTGGAGGTCTTCTAGTTTAATCCACTGCTTGAGCAGGAGATCTCTATATCATTTCAGACAAGATCTCCAGTCCCTTCTTAAAAGCCCTCAGCACTGGGGCACCCACAATTTCTAAAGGCAAGCCGTTCCACTGG